GAGAGAGAGAGAGGGGGGGGGAGAGGGAGAGAGGGAGAGAGGGAAAGAGGGAGAGAGAGAGAGAGTTGGCGAAGGGAATGTTGGGGCGAACGATGGGGTCGGCATGGTATAATTATGCTGTTAGATTGAGAGAAGAGATCATGAATCATGTAGCGCCTTGTGTGGAATAAAAGTTAAGAGTACAAATTGAATTCATAGTATTGCAACTTACGCCTATAGTGCCGTCGAAAATGCATGGCGCAACTTATTATGAAATATCTCCTTACTTACGGTACATATCAAACATAGATTCTTCAACTTTTGCACAATGACTTTTATCAATTTGTCTTAACAGGTGAATATTTTTTCAAGCTCCTGCACACAGTATTCTAGAAAATTCCTAATTAAATACTAGGTCTAATCAGAGCTAGTCTAATAAAAAATCCCAGTCTATGGTTTCTACAAATTTTAATTTACTCATTCAGCCTCTCTTCCACACACATCTGTACACATACACACATGATATGCTTGCATTTACAATCAGACCCACAGTCACTCGCTGTACATAAATGAACAATTATTACTAACAATAACAGTGTTCAATCTAGATATGTAGTCAGTATTCTTGTAATAACCCTGTGATACTCTGATAATACGTGATTTGAAGGTCATAATATGAATAATGAATACGTAAGACTATAGCTTACTTTTCTCTCCATTTCTGCAAAAGCTCTATGGGGTTTTTCTTCATCATGTACAGATGTCCAACTATGGGCAAAGCCAGGCCTGGAGACGGCGGGAGTTTTCTGTTGTCTCTGTCGGAGGTCAGGAAGTAAATAAGTGTGACCACGCCCACTATCACCAGCAGCCAGGACGTGGCGCTCAGAGACAGGACCGTCTCCAACAACATGGCGAGGGGTTCTGGAGATAGAGTTCCATCAGAAAGTCAGGCAATCAGTTAATAAATCAAACACCAGCCATACAAATCAACAAATCAGCTAGCAAGTGAGCTATCCCGTCAGCTAGCCAGTCAATCAATT